TACTTGGTTCACCCGAGAAGCACCACATCCATGGGCACAACAAACTGAAATCTACTATACCAATAAAGGTTACATCAAAGATTTTGGGACATATATTACCTATATAACCCTCAACAAACCTCAATCAAGGAAACCCTTTTATACCTGCTTTCACGACTGGCACCACTGTCAATCTCTCATATATTATTCACAACTAAACTATTGTCTAGGAAGAGACTCATCTTTATTACATCGCTAAACTACCTAGGAAGAAAACATTAAGAACAATTGTGACTTTCTCTCACTAAAAAAAAAAACCACCTAAAATCTCCATGTGAACCGTTTCTTTACAAGAAAACAACCTCTCAATCTATAGGAGGCACCATAGTAGTATTTCTCAATTAATGTGATGCATCATAGTAATGTTTCTCTCCATAAGAAGCACTCTTCTCTCTAAAGACAGACCCTACCTCTCATGCACATGAGGCCCTTGCCCCCTTCTCTTTCTCTAGAGGAAGCCATTGTTCTTATATAGTGACCCAAACAGGGCACATCTATTCTTCCATCTATCATCTCATACATATAAGGTCAGAATTTCATACCACATAGAAAACTTCATATATTTATATATATATATATATATATATAACCAAAAGATATATCCATAAGCTCTAATCATTATGGATTTATATTTCTCTTAAGAACTTATCAATATCAATCTCAATCATGCATAATATGATATTTCTTTGTGTCAGATGATTTTGGATATCATCATCTCCAACATAAAGAAGTAGCATTGTATGATAGCCATGGAGATCACGAGGTGTGGCTATAATAGGAAAGTTAAAATTGGGAAGGGGGATAGTTATCACAAAAATCACATAAAACAATTTATTGATCTTTCGAACTTAAAAGAATAATTAACTTTTTATCTACAAATAAAAGAGTAAAACAAAAGCATTTATTTTTCAGCTGAGTACCTCAAAACTGAACAATAGATTTGAAATTGAAAATATTTAATGAGTGTAATTTGGTGAGCCGCCGAACGGCTCTTATTTGTTCTTAAAACGGCTCTTATTTGTTCTTAAAATCGAAGCACTGTAGCAATAACTAAAAATTGTGGGCACTGACACTCTCTCTCTAGCCTATGCACGGCATCTCTCCCTGTACCTAAACTCTCTCCTCGGTGAAACCATCTCTCTCTACCTAAACTCTGGCATCCCTCTCTCTCTCCCCCGTGACCCGGCTCCCACCCTCTCCAAATCCCGTGAGCCTCCTCCCATTGTCTCTCTTTGGTGAGCCTCCTCGCCTCTTTCTCTACTGTGAGCCTCATCCCTCTCTCTCTCTCCCAAGAACAACAATCAGCCTCCTCGCTCAGCAACCCTAAATCCCCAAATTCAGCAACCCTAAATCCCCAAAATCAGCAACCCTAAATCCCCAAAATCAGCAAGCCTAGATTTCGTGGACTCTGGAATCTCTCTCACTGGAAGCCTCCTCTATTCTCAGCAACTCTAACTCAACAATACTGGCTTCAATCAACCATTCACAGCAAGGTACGAATTCAATTTACTTTTGGCATGGTTTCATGGAGTTCTTCTTGAATATTTTTAGCTGCATTTTTTCAGAGCTATTACACTGTATATCATCTCTGTGTTTCATCTTTGTAAATTATTAATCCGCCAACTCTATGGACTTTTGCGATTTTACATCAAAATGGATTATGCAAATCGTACAAAATTGCATCTCGGACATGGCAGTTTAGAGATCTTTCACAGATGCAGTAATTTTTTATTTGAATATTGGGGATTTAGGTTTACATTTTTGTGGATTTAATTATGTCTTTGTCTTGTACATTTACTATGGAATTTTTACCCATATTTCTTCACCATTGTCACTCTGCAAAATCTCCATCTTGATTTGTTTTCTCTATCTCTCTCATCTTTGTTGAATCGCAATTTTTTTAAGAAGAGGCTCAAATCTGTGGAAAAAACAACTCCAAATACCAAAGTAATACATTTATGAATTTAGATTTTCATTTTATCTATATTGTGCTTATTTCCTTTACGTGACAATTTGGGGAAAGTGTTTATTTTCTCCGGCTGCATATTTTAATGTTTGGTTATATTTAAGTCCTAATTTGGAGATTTTTTTTTTTTTAATTGTTGAATGGCATCCATTGATGTTGCTCTGTTAAGCGATTGATTTTTTGGTTTAAAATTGTCCTGTGGCATCCATTGATGTTGCACTATTAAATGATTGATTATTTTTCATTAGGTTTGTTTACTTTCAGTCATCAAGCATTTTGGTTTGTAACTGGTTTAAACAGGGTGGAATTCATGTTGCTCTATGAAGTCCTAATTTTGCGATTTGTTTTTTTTAAATTTTCGAGTGGCATTTATTGATGTTGCTCTGTTAAGTGATTGATTTTTTTTCATTAGGTTTGTTTACTTTCAATCATCAAGCATTTTGGTTTGTTAATGGTTCAAACAAGGTGGAATTGATGTCGCTATGTGAAGTCCTAATTTCGAGATTTTTTCGTTTAAAATAGTCGAGTGGCATCCATTGATGTTGCTCTGTTAAATGATTGATTTTTTTTGTCATTAGGTTTGTTTACTTTCAATCATCAAGCATTTTGGTTTGTTAATGGTTCAAACAGGGTGGAACTCACGTTGCTCTGTGAAGTCATAATTTTGAGAAATATTTTACCGAAATTGTGAAATGACATCCATTGATGTTGCTCTGTTATGTGATTGATTTTTTTCCATTAGGTTTGTTTACTTTCAATCATCAAGCATTTTGGTTTGTTACTGGTTCAAACAGGGTGGAATTCATGTTGCTCTGTGAAGTCCTAATTTGGAGATTTTTTGTTTTAAAATTGTCGAGTGGCATCCATTGCTGTTGCTTTGTTAAGTGATTGATTTTTTTTCATTAGGTTTGTTTACTTTCAATCATTAAGCATTTTTGTTTGTAACAGGTTCAAAGAATTCATGTTGCTCTGAGAAGTCCTAATTTTGAGATTTTTTGTTTTAAAATTGTCAAGTGGCATTTATTGATGTTGCTCTGTTAAGTGATTGATTGCTTTTCATTAGGTTTGTTAACTTTCAATCATCAAGCATTTTGGTTTGTTAAGTTCAAACAGGGTGGAATTGATGTTGCTCAGTGGAGTGTTATGGGCCTCATCATAGAGGTGGTGATGGTCGTTGTTGCTGTTGTGGTTATTGTTAACATTATTATTGACATATTTGCAATGAATGTTATGATGTGCTTGAAATACGTATTTATTTAGTCATTTATAGTGTGGTATTGATACGATTATTGTAGGCCGTAACAATGTCATCTGATTCTACAAGTAATCGAGGATATACAACTCGTCGATGCCAAAGTGCAGTATAGATTGTGCTAAAAAACCATCAGCAAGCCAAAATAACCCAAATAGGATGTACTATAAATGCTCTATATGTGAGTTTTTCCAATGGTGTGAATATAATACCGCCGTGGAAAATTTCAATTTAAGATGATGCAATACACGACAGTGGAATCCAATGCAAGAATCAGAAGAACGTGTCATGCTCAATCAAGAAACAAGTGTTGGCAATGATACGATACTCATTGCCATAGAGCGCATGCATCAATTCTTACTTGGTGCCTTTGAGTGTTTACAACAATTTTTGTATTTCTTGTATATAATAAATGTGTGCTTGCTTGCACTCATCTTTTTTATTTTTATAATCCTGATTAGAAACATGAGTTACTTTCTGACTTGGAATTGCTTTTTTACTAAGGGTTGCCTTTTTATTAATGTAATTATGCCCATCGTAAAATTCAACTTATTCTCCTTTTATGGAAAATGTTGTAGTTGAAAGTAACAAAAGGGTTCTTTTGGTAATGTAAACATATATTATTTTCCATGCAATTCCAATTCAAGGATATTATCTCAAGGACATTATGTATTGATTTTTTATTGTGCATTGATAGCGAGCGAGAGTTCAAGCATCTATAATTTATTTAAATGGGTGGGTTGATCATTTGAACTATGGCCAGTGCGATTGTGCCATTTATAGAGGGCTATAAAAAAAATGTGTTATAAAAGCTGAAATTCAGCCATGTGAAAGCATGTCATTCTTTCTTACTGTTAAAAGGGAGATGTCTTTTTGAGTCATTGCTCTTCAATGTCTTTTCAGTCATTGCTATTCAAAATTGTGTTGTAAATTTTCTATAGTCATTGCTATTCAAAATTGTGTTGTAAATTTTCTATATGGTCTTATATACTTCAGCCTTCATTGAGACACTTCTATTCTTATAGTGGTCATTGAGGGCTTCATTGAGACGCTTCGTTGAGGGCTTCATTGAGACGCTTCATTGAGGGCTTCATGCTTCATTGAGACGCTTCTATTTCATTGAGGGCTTCTATTTCATTGAGATCTTCATTGAGGGCTTCTTCATTGAGGGCTTCGTCATTAAGGGCTGCTTCTTCATTGAGGACTTCTATTTCATTGAGATCTTCTATTTCATTGAGGGCTTCATCGAGACGCTTCTATTTCAATGAACACTTCATTGAGCGCTTCTTCATTGAGACACTTCTATTTCATTATAGTGAAAGCTCATGCTGGTGAAAGGAATTATAGGGAGTGACATATGGACAGTAGATTTCAAAATAGACATTGTCATGTGGCCGCTTATTTGACTTAGAGCTGGTCCAAAGTGTTAATTTGAGAATTGAAACAAATCGAGAAATGTATATCCCTTTAGTAGGATTTTTTGCAAAATTACCATAATAAACATGTGAATGACATACTAGGTGTTCACTGTTAAAAGAATACCCCTGGTAAAAGAATGCCTACGTGAATAACATGCTAGGTATCCACATGTTAAAAGAATGCCTCTGTGAAAAACCTATCGTAAATCCCAAACCCAATTGGGCATTGTTGCTATTTTTTTGGTTTTTCAAGCCATATATCATACAAAACCTGTCATAAATTCTAAACCCAATTGAGCATATTTTTGGTTTTTCAAGCCATATATCATACAAAACCTGTCATAAATTCCAAACCCAATTGAGCATATTTTTGGTTTTTCAAGCCATATATCATACAAAACCTGTCATAAATTCCAAACCCAATTGGGCACTTATGCCATATGTTTGGTTTTTCAAGCCATATATCATACAAGACCTGTCACAAATTCCAAACCCAATTAGGCACTATCCCAAGATAACGAGACAGCCCCAAGATAAATCAATACAAACAATGAACACACCATGAAAAGTAAAAGATACATGGTCCCATAAGAGAAAAACATGTCCAAGGGCTCCAAAAGGAACACCCTCCAAAAGGCGTAGTATTAAGTTTACTAATAATTAACCATAAAACAAGGTAAATTCATTGACCTAAGGTAGTGCGAGCATTGTTTTCTAACTTGGAAACATCAAGTGAAATGTGAAGTCCTCCATCAATCGGTGTCTGCACCTGTATGACCATTAGTAAGTAATACAATCACAGATAGAAGTACCACAATGCTTAAATAAGGTAAATTTATGAATAAACTACACGATAAGAAATATTATTTACCTAGTCAACTTTTTATTCATAAGCATAAGAAATAATTTTTACCTACGTTGTCAACAACCACACAAGCATTAGAATTTCAATGCAAACAAATTTCTTACCATGCAAATTCAACGCAAAAAATACTATTTTACTTAATATAATGCAAATCTCTAAAGATTATTACCATTACTCAACATGTTCCACATTCTCACATGACCCATCTGAGCATCTAATATTTAAATTTAACCTAAACGACGAAAACCCATTTCAAATATTTATATTTAAAGAATTCATAGTAAAATCACATAGAGTACGAGAAATGGAGCAATAGTTCCTTCATACTTTGAACGTGCGAGAGATGGACAATTCCTGTTGTCATGTCCACTCCCTTTGCAAACTGGGCACTTTCGGGTAACTTCCTTCACTCTCGCTCTCGCTTTCTCGGCCTCTATCTCAACCTGAGATACATATCTATCGTTGGTAAGTCTCCCCTTTGTTCGTGCTCGAGAGGGCTCAAGGATATTATAGCATGCATGTCCCTCAAACTCAGCTCCGTTGCTACTGTCAGCAATCATATTCTCATTATGACTGCTGCAAGGCGTCTTAAAAGCACCATCTGGTAATACCACACCCCCAATCTTGGCCTTAACCTTTGAAAGTGTACTTAATAGTTCAGACATTATAAATGCATGGAGTTTTACACTTTCTGAAGCATGCTCTGCTAGTTCTCTAGTGACTTGATGAACGTCATTAAAACGAATTGAACGGGGTAGATCAGAGGTACTTTGAATTTGTTTCCCTTTGGCATCAAGTACAATACCTATCATCACATCTTTTGTCCACCTCTTCATTATGTAATGCGATGGGACTTCAAAAATATTATTCACCATCAAGACCCTAATCCTATGCCTACAAATCTCAAAATTAGGACTTTACAGAGCCACATCAATTCCACCCTGTTTGAACCATTAACAAACCAAAATGCTTGATGATTGAAAGTAAACAAACCTAATGAAAAGAAATCAATCACTTAACAGAGCAACATCAATAGATGCCACTCGACAATTTTAAAACAAAAAATCTCAAAATTAGGACTTCACAGATCAACATGAATTCCACCTGTTTGAACCAGTAACAAACCAAAATGCTTGATGATTGAAAGTAAACAAACCTAATGA